TTCTTTCTTTCTTTCTTTCTTTCTTTCTTTCTTTCTTTCTTTCTTTCCTTCCTTTCCTTTCCTTTCCTTTCCTTTTCTTTTCTTTTCTTTTCTTTCCTTTCTTTTTGTTTTTGCTTTAATGGTATTTATTGTGTTTAAAATCACGAGCCTCATGGTGTCCTAGTGGTGAAGATGCTTGCCTCCCACTTGCAAGGCTGAGAGTTCAATCCTACGTAACAGCGGATATTTTTCTCCTTCTGGGTTCAAAGAGAAAACATCTGCTGTGAGCTCCGCATAGGCATCAGGAAGGGCATTCAGCCAGTAAATACTCAGCTCTATGCAGTCACCCAGATACTACCCTGAATTAAGGGATTATAGGATTGTAAAAAGGGAGTGTTGTATTTGAAATCATAGAGTTAGAACACTCTAAGTTTAGAGGTGTAAGCCCATCACCTGACCCGCCCTCCCAACTAATATAGGAATCCAGAGTAGAGCACTCTGGACCGATGGACGTTCAGCCTCTCCTTGTACTGATCACCCTTAACCCAAAGTGCCACCATGTCTTCTCTGGTTGGCTGGACCCCATCAGAGGAAATGTGCCTAGGAAGAAGTTTTCCCCAACCTTGGCAACTTTAGGATGTGTGCACTTCAACTCCCAGAATTCCCCAGCTTGCCAAGGAATTCTGGGAGTTGAAGTCCACAGGCCTTAAAGGTTGCCAAAGTTGGGAGAACCTGCTCTAAAGGAAAAAAAAAAAAACAGCAGATACTTCTGCCAAAGTTAAAAGCTTTATGAACCCTTCTCAGGTGATGCTTCACCGCATTGGTCATTCATCGAAAGTTGGCAGTCATTCTTTCCAATGGATCTTGCTGAACCAGGCCCAAAGTCCATAATATCTAGCTGGTATCATGTATTTAACCATCCTAGGCATGGCTTTTTAAAAGAACTGTTTTTCTTCACTGTTTCACGTGCAGCTAAAGTTATCAGCAAATGGTCTTCCATTTTTGTTCTATTCCTGAAGGCCACAGGAAGTTCAAAATTCATGGAATCATTGTCTGCCTGTATTCTTCACAGCCTTCCTGTGGCAGACGAAAGACTTGAGTTAATTTGTGAGTCAACAGGCTACCTTTCACAGTTAGTAAAACTTCCCGTTGTGGTTGTGCATGCACACATATGGGTGTATCTATCGCTTTTTGGAAGGGACAGTAGTATCAAATAAAAAAGGTACAGAATATACCTCTTTCTTGTGTCACAGGTAGTCCTCAACTACAACCATTGGTTTAGCGACTATTCAAAATTAAAATGGCTCTGAAAAAAAGGGACATGATTGGTCCTCACACGTACAACCTTGGCAGTCACAGAATCAAAATCTGGATGTTTGACAACCAGCATGAATTTAGGAGTGTTGCAATTTTCCAGAATGATGCAATATTTGTGACTTTCTCAATGGCTGCAGCCATGGCAACAAAGGTTATAAAATTGGGTTTGACTCATTTAACACTACTTAGCAGTGGAAATTCTGTTCCCGATTGTGGTCATAAGTTGAGGACTACCTATATAATAGGCAACCCTTTTCCCTACAGTCTTCTGATTTATTGGATCCATGGAGACAGCAGTAAATTCTTTATTTTCCTGCCGTGAACAGTGGAGTTTGCTTCCCATTGATTCTCAGCTACAACATTAAATCCCAACTTTTACCTCAAAATATCTGGGATCTTCCCTGCTTTACCTCAGTGGGAATGAAGATATTGATGAGCTTTAAAAATCCAAATCGAGCAATGTCCTTTTTACTAAATATATTCAGCAGTTCTGGTGGCGCAGTGGTTAGAATGCAGTATTGCAGGCAAACTCTCCCCAGTCTGGAGTTCAATCCTGACGGGGTTTTAAGGTTGACTCAGCCTTCCATCCTTCCGAGGTCACTAAAATGAGGACCCCAGATTGTTTGGGGTGATATGCTGACTCATGTGAACCGCTCAGAGGGGGGCCATAAAACATTATGAAGCGGTCTATAAGTCTAAATGCTGTTGCTGTTGTTATATTTGTAACTGCTGCTTATTCTTCATATTTAACACCTAGAGCAATTGCATACTTTCTATTTACCAAGCATGTTAAGAAATCTAGAAAAAAAGGGTGGGGGGAGAAAGTCTGTAAGAAAGCACTATAACTTTGGAATCACCTCACAACCATGTCTCCCAAATGGAGGGACAGATTGACTCTATATACCAGAATTTATCTAATTACTAAATTAAGATCTGTGGCGCTAATCTTGCTCGCTCTGAATTTTGATAAGGAAACGAATGGGTTTGAATACTGAGGCCACCCTCAAAGCAATAGTCGATTTCCAGCTCCTTTGAGGAAAGCCTTTGAAGGCCAAAAAATTGGCCTATTTTGTCACTTCCTGTATTTCCGGAAATACAGGAAGTGACAAAATAGGCTAATTTTCCGGCCTGCAAAGCCTGCAGAAGTTTTCCTCCAGCCTCTGGGAGGCCAAAAAAGGCCTCAAACAGGCCAAAAATCAGCTAGGAGGCGCAGTGCAGGCAAGGGGGGAGGATTGCGCATGCATGCGCGGGGTACAGGGGAGCGTGTGCATTGCCTTCTGGGTGCTGGCACATGAGCGTGCACAGGCAAGCAGCCTAAAAAGGTTAGCCACCACTGTCCTAGAAAATGATTCTACTGTTTTATCTGCCGTTGGAGCATAAAGCTCGCTTCTGCCTTCAAAACTGTTGACCATCTTCTCCTGTAACCCTGGAAAGGGGCCCTTATGAGGTGCTACCAGTCAGGACCAGCTGAACCAAGGTTTTTTTAAGGAGGTATTACTCCTCCGGCACTCCTCCTCATTCTAGGATGCCCAGCTCAGCTCCATTTGCAGTGTCCATTATCTCCTGATTGTTTTTATATACTGTCACATAAGTGCAGAGACTTGGTGAGGCGGTCAAGTCTAGTAACCGGGGTGCTATTTTTTATTATTTTTAATTAAGACATCTCCATGATTCTTCCCTCACCTCATATTCTGAACACACATCCAGCCATTTTATTTCAGTAGTCCTCAACTTGCAACGGTTCCTTTGGTGACCATTCAAAGTTACATCAGCACTGAAAAAGTGACTTATGGTGGTTTTGCACACCTACAACTATTGCAGCATCCCCATGATATGTGATCAAAATTCAGATGTTCGGCAACGGATTCATATTTATGATGGTGGCAGTATCCCGAGGTCACATGATCCCCTTTTGCAACCTTCTGACGAACAAAAGTCGTCAACGGGGAAGCCAGATTCGCTGAACAACCATGTGACTCACTTAACAGCCGTGGTAATTCAACTGTACAACTGTGGCAAGAAAGGTTGTAAAATGGTTAAGTTCACTTAACAATGATCTCGCTTAGCAATAGAAGTGTTTGGCTCAATTGTGGCCATACGTCGAGGACTACCTGAACCTTAAATGTTCTTTGTTAATATTCTTGAAAAATAGAATAGAATAACAGAGTTGGAAGGGACCTTGGAGATCTTCTAGTCCAGTGATGGCTAACATTTTTGGGCTCCTGTGCCGCGTGCGCGCTTGCCTGTCGTGTTTGCCTGCTGTTGTCCTGTTTAAGCAGGGGGTTGGACTAGAAGACCTCCAAGGTCCCGTACAATGCTTTGGTTATTCTGACCCAAATGAGCTGCTTGGAGATCTTGCCTTAGGTGACGGAAACCAAACTGAACTTGCTGTGGAAGTTGGATCCTGCACTTCTCCATGATTAATGCACTTTCTAGATATCATAAGGGGCCTTAAGATGCAGGTTAGAGTTAGGCTGTTGGTCTTCAGATCTGCTCAACAATAGGTCTATCAAATACCAGGTTAAGGTTGTCCCACATGCCATTTTCCCAAAGGCAATTGGACTTTCTTGGTTTTCTCCCTGAAAACATTTTGCTTCTCATTCAAGAGGCGTGTTCAGTTCTTCAATTACCGCAAAAAAATATAAATCCTTCCCTTCAGTTAGAACTGAAGAAGCTTCTTGGATGAGAAGTGAAACATTTTCAAGAGGAAAAAAACCAAGAAAGTCCAGTTGTCTTTTGGAAAAGCACAGGTGTATTGAATGTTTGCAATTTAGGCATCAACCCATTATCATTATGCGCTCTGTGTCATCTGCAATCAAACATCTAGAATGTGTGTCCTCACTGGTTAAGCCAAACCGTCCAAAATGAATGTGTTGTTCCTAAATAACTGAGAAAGCACAATATCAATAAATGCCTATGCCAGAGGTCTCCAAACTTGACAACCTTAGGACTTGTGGACTTCAACTCCCAGAAATGGAGAATTCTGGGAGTTGAAGTCCACAACTCTTAAAGTTGCTAAGTTTGGGGACCCCTGGCCTATGCTGTGGGACTTTTGCATTACAGAGAAAAAATGCTGTGTATGTCATGTGATGAAACCCTAGCGTGCTCTTTTGCTCCTGTTAAAATCTACTTCAGCAATGCCCGTGAATCTGGCACTGTTAAAGGTCCCCATTTGGTATGTATTAGCTAAAGCTACAATAAAGATTTCCCCATAATTTAAAAAAATGACTAATTGTCTTATTTTAGCTAAAGCTGTCAGGAGACTATGAGATTCAGCACAGCAATTTCTGTGTGGGACACACGGAAAACAGGAGGAAGCAGCTGTGTATTGGTTTGTATCTTACCTGTATTATTTTTACAAATAACTCAAGGTGGAGAACGCACACATATCCAACACAGTGTCTTCCTTGTATTTTCCCCACAACAACAACCCTGTGAGGTGTGTTGGGCTGAGAGGGAGCGACTGGACCAAAGTCACCCAGCTGGCTTTCATGGCTAAGTCGGGATTAGAACTCATGGCCTCCTAGTGATTGGCCCCATCCATCCTACCGGTTCGGCGAACCAGATGTAAATTTAACATTCAGTTCGTCCAAGCCAGCCTGAACCGGATGAATCCCACCCCTGGATACAATACTTAGAAACAAATATAACAAAGATCTCAGAAAATGTGGCCTGTGGACAGAGGTGGACAAAGCATGAGTGGCTAACATCTGATGACAGGTGGACACACTGGCCTCAACGCTGGACACGTAAGAAGCAGCAAGTGTAACCATCTCTATCCATGCCGTTTCTTCAAGGGTCCTAAAGTTTTCACCATCGATGGTGCTCCATTTCTCTAACTGGCTACCTGACTATCAAAATCCTCTCTCTTCTCTCAGTCCCAGGTCTTTTGCTGTATTTGAACAACAGATGCTTTAAAACAGCGGTCACCAACTGGTCCATGGCCCGTGGACCACTGGTGGTCCGTGAGAACATTTTGTAGTCTGCAGAAAAATGATTTGCATTTTTTATATTGCACTAAATCAGGGCTCCTCAAACTACGGACCCTGGGCCGGATACATACAATGAACGTTTGTGTTGCTGCAGAGAGTCTCCCCCTTTGGGGTCTTTTTGTGCAGGTCGGAGGGGGGGCCACAAATTCGGACCTGGGGTCTGCTTCAGCCTCCTGGTGCAGGGCTTTAGGGGACGGCTAGAAGGAAGAGCCACTGGTGGCAAAGGGCTGGAGCGCCTTGTTCCAGTGGGACTGCATTATGGCCTGGAACTGGCTGACCATCTCAGCCCGCTGAGCCTCCAGGCTACTACCTGGCCTTGAACTCCTGCAGGTCTTCCCTCTGCTTGGAAAGCCTATGCTCGTAGTCCTCAGTGAGGTGCTTCTGCTGAGCCTCCTTCTTGCTCAGATCCAATTTGAACCGAGACAGCTTTTTTGCCAACTCTTTCTCGTGGCGGCTGCTTGGCTCCAACAACTGCTTCCTGTTGGGGCGCTAAAGAACACAGGTGGGCAGGTGGGGAGGGGCTGGGAGGGGAGGGGCAAGTAGAGGCCTCGCCGTGAGAGTGACATCAAATTGGTCATGCCCAGCCAGTCACATGATCATCTATCCACGCCCACCCAACCAGTCGTCAGGCAGATCATACTAGTGATCCGCGGGATTTAAAATTATGAATTTAGTGGTCCCTGAGGTCCAAAAGTTGGGTGAGCCCTGGTTTAAAATACAAACAAACAAAAATGTACAAAAAGACAGTCAGTCCCTGTAAATCAAATATGCCGCCTTCTCATTCCTGCCTGAGCAGATCAACCCGCCCACTTTCTAAAAAGTAATAGATGCATATTTTATGGAATGGGGGGCGGGGGGTAGTTTATTCCATAATACACACTCATACATATGTCTCTTTAATGCAGAAAAACATATTCTTATCACCAGAAAAGAAAAGAAAAATAGACATTTATATCACAGGGCTACAAGAATCAAATCATAAGCACGTTCATACAATCAGCTTTTCTTTAGAAAAAAAAAAACAATTTAAAAAGCACTTATAAGAAGAAAAGGCACAAACAAACAGCGCTGCTTCAAACGATTAACCGAGATCCAGGGATATATTTACTGTCTGTCCATATATTGGTTTTCCCAAAATGGTTGAGGCCTTTCTTGCACTGGTAACAACGACGATACCTTGCACACTGATCCAGGAGCATAAGTTTGTCTCCCGCCCTGCCATTCAAGGAGACAGAAATGAGTTTATTTTTTAAACCAGCTTCTTGGGAAGAAAGAACCAATAATTCACTTTTTCTCACTTATATCTTCCAGCTCAAAAATCCAAGGGTTTTTCCCTGAATTTGAGTCAAAGATGGAAGGCTCTGTAAATCGGGAGTCCCCAATCCCCAGACTGTGGGCCCACTCCTGGGCCGTGAGCTGTTGGGAACCAGGCTGCAGAAGCGGTGATTGAGTATGCATGCAAATGGAGTGGCATGCGTGCATGTGCTTGCCTATTGCTTGTGTGGAACTACCATGTTTCCCCGAAAATAAGACCCTGTCTTATATATTTTTTGCCACCAAAAAAGGCACCAGGTCTTATTTTCGGGGGATGTCATCCACTGACTAACTTCACTTGCGCGCATCGCCCCCCAGCCTCCTCAGCCACTTGTGCGCGTTGCCCCCTAGCCCAGCCTCCTTTTTGCTGTCTGAGACCTTCAGGAAATTCTTCTTCTGTGGCCGGCAAGGCTTTCCTGAAGGCCTCGGCAGCCAATAACAGAGCTCTGGATCAATCCAGAGTTTTGTTATCAGCTACAAAGGCCTTCAGGAAAGCCTTGCCGGCTGCAGAAGAAATGAGCCAGCAAGGCAGGTGTTGGGGTGTGTGCAAAACCTGGCTATAACTATCCAAAGATAAGTAGTAGGGCAGCTCCACCACCACCCATTCCCACCCTAGCTTAATTTTTACCCATGCACTCTGGAGTGGGTGGGATCTGAATTAGGGCTTATTTTGGGGTTAGGGCTTATATTGGGTGCACGTATAAAAATCAAGCTAGGACTTACTTTCAGGGTAAGTCCTATTTTCAGGGAAACGGGGTATCTCTTCTCCCCCCCCCACCTGCCACCGGTCTGCAAAGCCAGAAAGGTTGGGGCACTCTGCTCTAGATGGAGGCTTACCGCTGGAAGAGCTTCTCCTCGTAATCTCGCTGTCGCTTCAGCCCTGCGCTTTTTCGCCAGTCCTCTTGAATAGCCAAATTCATCTGGAAGAGCCTCTCCATTCGCTCACCCTTCTCCGCTATCCACCTAGAAGAATATCCAAAGGGTTTTAAGGCGAGGAGAATACGGGTAGTCCTCGAATTAACAACAGTTTGTTTAGTGACTGTTCGAAGTTACAACAGCACTGGAAAAAAAAATGACCTATGACCATTTTTCACGCTTACAATCTCATTGGTCACGTGATGAAAATTCAAATCATTGGCAAACTGGTTCATATCTATGAAGGTTGCAGTGTCCTGGGGTCATGTGATCAATTTTTTGAGACTTTCTGACAATTGGGAATCCAGATTTACTTAACAATCACGCTACTAACGTAACAACTGCAGTGTTTCGCTTAAACAACTGTGGCAAGAAAGGTTCTAAAATGGGGCAAAATTCACTTAACAAATGTCTCACTTAGCAACATAAATTTTAGGCCTGTATCGTCATAATCCATCTGGATTTTGGAGCATGCCCAGGATGGGACACCTTCTTAAGAAGCACAACCACCAAGAAATGGCCACGTAACCTATCAGAGGAGCTGAATTTCTTCAGAAAAGCTTCAGCACATCAGTTAACAGAATAACAGAGTAACAGAGTTGGAAGGGACTTTGGAGGTCTTCTACTCCAACCCCTTGCCTAGGCAGGATACCCTACACCATTTCAGACAATCGGTTATCCAACATCTTTTTAAAAACTTCCAATGTTGGAGCATTCACCACTTTCGGAGGCAAGTTGTTCCACTGATTAATTGTTCTAACTGTCTGGAAATTTCTCCTTAGTTCTAAGTTGCTTCTCTCCTTGATGAGTTTCCACCCGTTGCTCCTTGGCCTACCCTCAAGTGCTTTGGAGAATAGCTTGACTCCCTCTTCTTTGGGGCAGCCCCTGAGATATTGGAAGACTGCTATCATGTCTCCCCTAGTCCTTCTTTTCATCAAACTAGACATACCCAATTCCTGCAACCGTTCATTATATGTTTCAGTCAGGGGTAGGCTTCAAAAATTTCAGCAACTGCTTCTCTGCCCGGTGGCTGGGTGGGCGTGGCCATGGTGGGTGTGGCCTAGTCATCCTCCGGCACCATAGTTGGGGTGGGCATTTTCACCCTCCCCCACGTTGCGGAGGTTTTCATCGAGCCTACAGGAGGGTAAAAATGGCCTCCCCGGGCTTCGGAGGCGCTCTGGAGGCCAGAAACAGGCCCATTTCTGACCTTCTGGAACCTCAAAGTGGCCTGTTTTTCACCCTCCCCATGCTTCCACACAGGCCCTGTACTTACCTGGCATCCAAAACGGGCCGTGTGGGGACTCCTGGGAGGAGTGGAGTGTGGCAGGCAGGGTCAGCCAGGGATGGGATTTAGCGGTTTGCCAAACTGGGCAGAATGTTAGCTAGAGGATCGCTCAAACCCGTGCGAACCAGTAGCAGCCCACCCCTGGTTTTAGCCTTCTAATCATCTTTGTTGCTCTACTCTTCCCTCTTTCCAGAGTCTCAACCGGTGGTGGTATGCTACCAGTTCGGCCCAGTTCTGCCGAGCCAGTAGCAGCGATGAGCAGCGGAGACCGAACCGGTTTTCTCCATCGGTCTGCTGTTGGGCCCACCCGCCCGCCTGTGGTCCCATACTCACCTTTATCCTCTGAATTTGAAGCGCACGTGCTTTGCGTGGCACAGAAGAGTGCCGCGCGGCAGCTGCGGAAGCAAATGGGAGAGTGCAGGCTTGCAGGAGGCAAGTTCAAATGCCTCTATGCCTGCGCAAATGCACTTGCACCTGCGGGCCCACCAAGCCACCAAACCGGTGGTAAAAAATATTTGAATCCCACCACTGGTCTCAACATTTTTTTTATATGTCATGGAGACCAAAACTGGATGCAACATTCCAAGTGTGATCTTATCAAGGCATTATAAAGTGGTATTAACTCTTTACGGTTTCCATCTTACTGTTTCTTAGCTCTCTGAATCATGTCGGTAGCTCTCCTCTGATCCACCAGCTGGTTAAGAATGGCAGTCCTTTTGCGGTCGGCAACTGCTTGCAACTGGTACTTGGAATATTCCCGAGCACGCTTCCTTCTCTCCCCCATTTTCTCCTCATTCATGTCATTCTTCCCAAAAATGATCTCCGTCGAATCAGGTACGTACTCCGGCAAGGGAGCCGGCCTTAATTTTATCTAGGTACAAAAAGGAGGGAGAAATCTAATTTTTTTTTAAAAAGACACTTTGCTCAGAGCAATTCATTCTTAGGAAGGTTGTTTTGTGTACAGGTAGTCCTCAAGTTACGGCCACAATTGAGCCCGAAATTTCTGTTGCTAAGTCATTAAATAATTAAATTAAACTCAATAAATTAAATTGAACTCATTAAATGATTCATTAAATGAATTTTGCCCAGTTTTATGACCATTCTTGCCACAGTGGATAACTGAATCAATGCAGTTGTTAGGTTAGCAACACGGTTGTTAAGTTAATCTGGCTTCCCAATTCTGACCTTTGCTTGTCAGAAGGTCACAAAACGGGATCACATGACCGCGGGTTAGGGCAAACATCATATATAGATGCCGGTTGCTAAGCAGCTGAATTTTGATCACATGACCAGGGGATGTTGTAATGATCATAAGTGAGCAAAATGGTCACAAGTCACTTTTTTCAGAGCCATTGTAACTTCAGTCAGTAAACAAACTGTTGTAAGTTGAGGACTGCCTGTTTAACATCTTTTTCTCCCTGCCCGGAATCCTTGTGGAATGAAGGAGACCAGGGGTGTCAAACTTGATTTCATTGTGAGCCGCATTAGGGTTGTGCAGAGGTGGTATTCAGTAGGTTCTGGCCACTTCTGGAGAACCGGTAGCGGAAATTTTGAGTAGTTCAGAGAACCGGCAAATACCACCTCTGACTGGCCCCGCCTCCATCTATTCTCTGCCTCCTGAATCCCAGCTGATCGGCTGGGTCTTATTTTGTTGCTCTGCACAGGAGAACGGAGCTGGAAAGCAGGTTAGTGGGGTGGGGAGGGAACGGGATTTTGCAGTAACCTTCCCCCAGGAGTAGGGTGGAAATGGAGATTTTACAGTATATCCTTCCCCTGCCACACTCACCAAGCAATGCCCACCAAGTCACACCACGCCTACCAAGCCATGCCCTCTGAACCGGTAGTAAAAAAAAATGAATCCCATTACTAGGGTTGTGTTTGACCCGGGGTGTGTGTGTGGCCAGTGTGGGTGTGGCCAGCATGATATCACTCATGTCAGGGCGGGCGCCTGTGGTAGCTCGAGAACTCTGCCAGCGAAAATGGGCTCCCGAGCTCCATTTTCAGCTGTGACGGCCTCCTGCAACCCTCTGCCAGCAAAAACGGAGCTCAGGAGAAACCCTTGCAAGCTCCATTTTAACTGGCAGAGGCACCACAGGCCAGTCTTTCGCTGTTTCAAAGGCGGCCTCGCAGTCCAGATCCAAGCACCCTGTGGGCTGGCTCTGGCTCCGGCCCGCAGGCCCTGAGTTTGACACCCCCAAAGTAGACTATAAATATTGGAAATAAATAAATAAGCCACCATAAAGTTGCAGTCCAGAACATCTGGAAAACCCTAGGCTGATGACGGTATTACAGATATCTTTACAAAGTAAAAAACATCCCATTTTAAAATGAAGCACTTAAACGGGAACATGAAAAAGAAATGTTAAAGATGTAAAGATTATAACTAACATTAATGATAGAGCTGAATTGGAATAGAATAAGTATTTTATTTATTATTGTTATATATATATTTTCTCTTTAAGAATTTAGTGCATATTTCAAGAATGTACCAAGCAGAATTCGACTAGAAGTTATGTGTTATATTGAATGTTAAAATTGTAAAGGCATAAATTGAAGTTTAAGTAAGAGTTGCATGGATAAAAATTAAAAGATACAAAGGTGTCATACTCCAATTAGTAACTACAGGGAAAAAGTTTGTTTAATGAGAAAAGAAAATATGAAATTGAAACAGGACAGACAAAATATAATAACTAGAAAAGTATTGAAACTTAGAAAAAGATATATATACTTGAATTTAGAAAGGAACGAGATAATTAAAAGTAAGATTGCGAAAACTCAGGGAAGGGAAAAATTATTGTGAAAATGTTAAAATAGTAATAAGATATGGAATAGAACACAAAGATGAATATGAAATTGAATTTGTGTCTGTATGGAGAAGTGATAACTCGTGACCATGCTATTCTCAAAAAAAAAAAAAAGAAATTTTACTTGTACTATGTTTTGTGAAAACCCAAATAATTTTTTTATTTAAAAAAATGGGAGAATTTGGAGGTTGGTTTTGTGTAGCAAATATGATTATCTTAAGCAGAGTAATGAAAACATAAGTCTCTTGGAGTCTAGCAGGGTCTACTTCCAGGCAAACTTAATTTGGATTACATTGTAATCTTACACCAAATAAATTGTAATGCCTGCAAATATTTTGATGGTGGAGGCCAAAACAGGCTTTGAAATAGTTTTAAGAACATCTGCCTCCTCTTTTTCTACTGACAGCCTGAATATCTGGGCTGGATCGTGATGGGGCTTCCTTCTAAGATTCGCTAATTAAATTTCCAAGAATTAATTCATCAGCTAGCCTTACCCTCAGAGTCAGCATCCTTCTTGGTTCCACTCTAAAGGAACTTTTAATCAGCAATGGTAAACCTATACAGGTAGTCCTTGACTTACAACAGCGAAAGACAAGGAATAATAGATGGAAACTGAACAAGGAGAGATTTAACCTGGAAATAAGGAGAAACTTTCTGACAGTGAGAACAATCAACCAATGGAACAGAAGTTGCCTTCGGAAGTTATGGGAGCTTCATCACTGGAGGCTTTCAAGAAGAGATTGGACTGCCATTTGTCAGAAATGGTGTAGGCTCTCTCGCTTGGATAGGGGGTTGGACTAGATGACCTACAGGATCCCTCCCAACTTTGATTATCTGTATCTGTCTCTGTGTCCAAAATTTCTGTTGCTCATTGAAACATTTGATAAGTGTGTTTTGCCTCATTTTACGTTCTTGCCACATTTGTTAAGTAAATCACTGCAGTGAAGTTAGTAACACGGTTATTAAGTGCATCTGGTTGACTTTGCTTGTCAGAAAGTCACAAAAGAGGAGCACATAATCCTGGGACACTGAAACCATCATAAATATGAGTCAATTGCATCTGGATTTTGATCATGTGATAATGGAAATGCTGCAACGGTTATAAGCGTGAAGAACGATCACAAGTCAGTATCATTTGTGTTCTGAACTAGGCTTCACAAAATCACGATGTGGACTCTTCATCCTGACAAAAACCCCTTTTATTAGGCTAATGTGAATTCCTATCATTCACATCCAGCAAAGTCCTGGCAAATAGACTTTCAAGGGTGAATTGCAACCACAGACCTTATCAGGCTTGGAGAGCTGCCAGGCCATTAGCTTCCAAGTGCAATGCTGTACAAGAAAATACTTGGCAAGGAGTCTCTGAGAGTCACCAACAAATCTCCACCCTAATTAAATGAACTAATTGTCTCCTACAAACACCACTCCTCTTTATTCCCTGTGGGAGGGGCCATTCACCATCCATCTGTGACTTTATTCCCAAGTCGCCCTTGTTCTTTAACTGTTCCCTTCTCCTGGCAGCTCTGTGCATGCGCACATCAGGAACAGGCTCCAGCTGTTCTTCAGCCTCACTGATCTCCAACTCCAAAGGCAACTGATAACTGTCAGACAGCCCTGGCCCCATCTCTGCCTCCGACGCAGAGCACTCATCAGAGCCTTCCCCAGACTCCAGGACTGTCCCATGTTCCTCCCCGCAACTCAGTTTGAATGCTCTGATAAATTATCTTTTTCTCTACATTCCACATTCAATCTTCACTAAAGGGAAGAGACCAACCACTTTCTTTTCAGCCACACAACTTATAACTGAACATGAATTATCAGCTGCTTTTATGATTCATTTAGACTGTGATGCTACAGTTGCTTACATAAAAGTTATAGTAATCCCACTAAATTTAATGAGGTGTGGGTGTGGGTGTTAGAAAAGAGACTTCCTTTCATGATCACAAACTCATACACACTTGTTCTGGGTTAAAACTGCTTGCGTTGGCAACTAGCCGATTTACCTGTGTATCAAGGGCCGTCTTATAAGTTTGGTTTTCTTCCAGCTTCTCTCTTAAATACTTTGCTCTTTGGGCAGCTAATCTAGAAAGTAGACAGAAGACTAGGAATCAGTATGATTTCAGTAAGAAATGGGTGGTCATCAACATAGTATGTTTTGATTTTATTTTTAAGTTAGCCGTCACTTATGACCCAGCAGATGTGTTAAGATTGGGTTGCCCAAATCTACAGCCTTTCCTCAGATCTTGAAATCCCCAATTATGTTAATAGCTGAGCTTCTACTGTAAATCACGTTTAGTGAGTCCATTGGTGACTACAACTGGGACCACTAAGTCCGTCCTTAAGCAAAGCAGCCACTAAGCGAGGAAGCACATTAATACAACTGTGCTTACAATTTGATTTCAGCTTCAGAAGGATACGACTCCAAACAACTGGATGAGCCTAAATCAAGGGTGTCAAACTTGTCATTACATGATGTATCACAATGTTTTTCCCCTTCGCTAAACTGGGGGTGGGCATGGACAGTGCATAATGCATCTGGCCCACGGGCCATGAGTTTGACACCCCTGGGCTAAATGATGAGGAAGATTTCCAGAACTCGACTCATCAGAACACTGGGTAAAAGAGCAACTCTTATAGTCCTTTTCCCCCAATCCCCAATCCTTTCAAATACTCACCCAGTGTTGGGATAATTAACAAAAAGATAAATATTTGTAATCTATTATTCTGATATAATATTTGTATTATATTCATTGGAGAAAAAGGGATCACAAGAGAGTAATCTGATACACAATGGGGAATACACTTTGAAAGGAATGCCCTGTTCCCTAGCTGTGAACTTCCTTAATGAAAAAAAAAAGATGTCAGTGTAAAACCAATTAGAGTCTTGTCCGTTTTAGGCAGCAGCTGTGAGCCACCCAGCATTCTAATCAACTAAATATGTCACAGAGCTGAATTTGTTAACTTGGGGTTAGCATTTTGGGGAACTGCTGGAGAAAAGCAACTCAGGAAGAAATAGTTTGTTTAGGCAATTTCTCCACTTGTGAAAAAGAAAAAAAAATGGACCAACATGTATTAACAGAAATACAATAGCAAAAACATGACTGAAAGAGAAAGGTTGCAAACATTAATATAGGACCTCTGGTGGCGCAGTGGTTAGAATGCAGTATTGCAGGCTAATCCTACCCACAGCCTGGAGTTGGATTGCTAGGAGCAATATGATGACTCTGTAAATTGCTCAGACAGTTTTATAAAGCACTATGAAGCAGTGAATAAGTGCTGTAGCTATTGGTAGCAAAGTTATTTTCCCATCCTTGCTGTAACTTCAAACAGTATCTAAAGCAGTCACTAAACAAGGACTGTAAAGTGAAGACATAGCTTGCAATTCTTTACGTTAGGCACTGAAGGGAATAAGGGAATAAGGGAAGATAATAAGGGAATGGAGAAGGAAAAGCACTCTGCATGTTTGAGATAAAGGTTGCATTACTACTTCAATGTGTATTCCATGATAGAGCTCAGGTTTTGGTGCTGTACCGCAAGGGTGGGATTCTACTCATTCAGGCCGGTTCGGGAGAACTGGATGCTATGTTTTAATCTGGTTTGCCGAACCGGTATTTCAACCAACTGGCTGGCCCCATCCACCTCACCCCGCCCCACCCAGGAATCTCCACATGGCCCATTTTCGACTGAGGTAAGTGCGGGATCCGCGTGGAGGCTCTGGGAGGGGGAAAAAAACGGGCCTTCTGGAAGTCTGGAAACGGGCCTGTTTCCAGCTTCCAGTGGGCCTCTAGAGCCCAGGGGAGCCTGTTTTTTGCTACATGAGGATACATACAAGGAAGAAGTTGTGGAATGAGCAATCATGAACAATTGAGTGGAAGAAGCTTCCTAAACTGTACATCCCTCTGAATGAGTCCGCTTATAACTCCCATCATCCTTATCCGGTTGAGAATAATGGTAGTCAAATATATCTACAATATTCCAGTCTTTTAGTAGGGCTAATCTAAACAATTCAACTGTGAAATCTGAATCTGAATCACAAGCCCTTCCGACCAGGTGACCCTGTTGATTCTGCAGGACATAATTATGACCATTAGAAGGCACCAGACTGCATTTAAAACTTGGAATCAATAAATACTGAAGAAGGAGTGGGCAGGAGGAGTGGGATTCTACCAGTTCAGCCTGCTTTGGCTGAACCAGTAGCTCCAACGATCAGCTGTTGGGCCCACCCGCCTGCCCAGGCTCTAGACTGTGCTTTATATCCTGTTTTTCAAGCTCAGCTGATTCGCGCGGCAGAACGGATTGCTGCGTGTCAGCTGTTTTAACGCACAGGGATTGCTGGAGAAGGTCAGCAGCAAATGCTCTGTGCGTGCGCAAAGCACACGCTCACTGAACCGGTTGTTACACCGGTTGAATCGCACCCCTGCTCAAAGTTCTCACTCTTCTGCCAGCTGGACTTGCTGCAAGCGGTCAATGAAATCCTGTTCCTGTTTTTGCTTTGCATCTCTGGCTTTTTTGGTCTCCAGCTGTTTGTCCAAGTGCTGGGCATATTCCTCTTGCTTCTCATGAGGGGTAGAACTGGGCGGCCTCTTCTCAAAAATGAAGGACCTCTGAAAAGCAAGCACAAATCTTGACATGAATAAAAGCAACGCTGGATCAGTGGGTGTTTAACACAATGGGAAGTGCATGCTGGCCATTATCTGATGCTCATAGAACATAAAATAATAGGTTTAGGGAGGGACCTTGGAGATCTTCTATTCCAACCTCCTACACATGGTAGGAAATCCTATGGTTCTGAGGTAGGCTTCCCCAACGCCACAAAGTCAACTCCTCGTCCTGATAAATCCCTTCTATTGAGTTCACAGTGAATTCCTCTCCAGCAAAGTCCCGGCCAACAATCTTTCAAGATATTTCCCAATTACCGACCTTGGAGAGTTACCAGACCAATATCTTTCAGGTGCCACAACTGTAGCAAGAATGCAGGAACAGATTATTCACTCAAATGAACTAATTGGCTCCTGCAAAACCCCACTCCCCTTTCGGTCCTCTTTTATTCCCTGTGGGAGGGGCCATTCAACATCCATCTGTGGCTTTACTCCCAAGTGGACCCTTGTTCCTTAGAGCTGTTCCCTTTTCCTGGCAGTTCTGCGCATGCGCACATTGGGAACAGGCTCCAGCTGTTCTTCTGCCTCACTAATGTCCGACTCCGAAGGCAGCTGATAACTGGCCCTGGCCCCATCTCTGCCTCCCACGCAGAGCCCTCGTCAGAGCCTTCCCCAGACTCCAGGACTGGCCCATGTTCCTCCCCAGCCATCTCACTGTCCGAATCTGCTGCCAACTCCACTGGCCGCTGGTGGGCCACAACACCTATACCATTCAGGACAAATGGCTGTCCTGTCCCTTTTTTCTTGAAAACCTCCAGTAAAGGAGCATCCATAACACTAGGAAGCAAGCAATTCCATCAATTAATTGTTCTCACTGTCAGAAAATTTGTTCTTACCTCTACCTTGGATCTCTCTTTAACAAGATTCCACCCATTATTTCTTGTCCTGCCCTCTGGTGCTTTGGAAAATAAGCCAATTTCCTCTTTTCTCTGGCTGTCCCTCAAGCACTGGAAGAGTGTCATCGTAGCATCCCTAGTTCTTCTCTTCAATAGGCTAGCTAGACATACCTAGGTCCCTCAACCATTCATCATACAATTGAGATCATGGGACGCGTAGTCAGGGGAGGGCTTGTGGGGGTTCGCAGGGGTTTGGGAGAGCCCATAGTTAAGATTCTCTGCAGTTCGGTGAACCCCCAAATCCCACTCCTGGCTGGCCCTGCCCACCCCTTTCCTCCACGCGGCCAGTTTTGGATGCAAGTAAGTGTAGGGTGCACGTGGAGCTCAGGGAGGGTGAAAAACGGGCCTCCTGGAAGTTCAGGAAGGCTGGAAATGGGCCTGTTTCTGGATTCCAGAGAGCCTCCGGAGCCCAGGGAGGCCATTTTCACCCTCCCAGAGGCTCAAGAAAGCCTCCGGAGCCCAGGGAAGGCAAGAATGCCCCTCCCGGCCATGGTTCAGGAGGCCAACCAGGCCACGCCCACCCAGCAACCAGGCAGAGAACCCTTTGCTAAAAAAATTTAAGCCCCACCCCTGCTTGTAAGTCCAACGGATCCAAAAAGCCTAAGATAGGGAAAAGGGGCAAGCTATAGTTATGGGAGATCTTACAAAAGGTTCCACCAGCTTTTCGTTCTTCTGTTTCCGCATGGCTTCCGCTACGCCCAAGTTATAAGATGCCACTTTCTGATTCTGTTCCCGATTCTGCTCCCTTTTCATCTGTAGTTCGGAAAAAGAATGAAATGCTTCTGAGCAGGAAAGGACAGGAAAGGAGAGAAGAACTGGACCAAATTGGAGAAACCATGATTCAGAATCAATAATGGGTGTCCCATCCTCTGTGAATGGCGCATATCACTCTTGGAAACATCTTCTATACAGGTAGTCCTCAGCATAGCAACATAAACCTTGGGCTCAATTGTGGTTGTGAGACATTTGCTAAAGGAATTTTGCCCCATTTTGCAACCTTTCTTGCCAAGTTGTTAAGTGAATCATTGCAATTGTTGAGTTAGTAACACAGTTGATAAGTGTATCTGGCTTCCCATTAACTTTCCTTGTCAGTTGGTTGCAAAAGGGGATTACGAGACCCCGGGTCACTGCAACAGTCATAAATGTGAGTCAGTTGACAACTGTCTGAATTTTGATCACATGACCTTGGGGATGTTGCAATGGACATAAATGTGAAATACAGTTATCAGTCACTAAATGAACTTGTAGCGTTCGAAATGGACTAAGCCGAAGTCTTCACTCCGGTCCGTCTTTCCAGTGGGAACATGGACTGCTCCTATTGGCTGATGCCGTTTGACAGCTCCCTTTTATAGCCGGCTGTCAAACGGCATCAGCCAATAGGAGCGGTCCATATTCCCACTGGAAACACGGACCGGAGTCCGCCAGCTGGCTGCCTTGTTAGCGCGGAAGCCGCGGCAACCCTTTATTGTCTCAATAAAGTAACAGCTGAAGTTCGCTCCGAGTTTGCCTCAGGTTTTTCCGCCGCTCTACAACAGAACTGTTATAAGTCAAAGACTATCTATATTCACCAGAACTACAGGACTACACAAAGTATCATTCCAAATGCTTCCGTGAGGCCCAGGATCAGTGGTGGGATTCAAATAATTTAACAACCGGTTGGCCTAGGCTCAGGTTGACTGTTGTGGGAGGCGTGGCCCATCCCCATCCTCCAGCTTTGCCGTATATGCGGGACAAGCTTCCCATGACGGCCAACCTGACTCCAAGCAAATTGGGAGTTAAATTACCCCTCCCCTATCAAAGTGGATCCCGGGCGCTGTGCTGCTCCATTGCAGTGCAGCGCAGCCCCCAGGATCAGGGGTGAGATTCTACCAGTTCGTACCAGTTTGGACGAACCAAATGGTAAAGTTACAGCTGGTTTGCCAAACTGGTATTTCAACCAACTGGCTGGCCCCTCCCCTCTCCTCCCACCAGGCCCCTCTCAGGACTCTCCATGTGGCCTGTTTTCGATGGAGGCTCTGGGAGGGGGAAAAAATAGGCCTTCTGGAAGTTCAGAACTGGGCCTGTTTCCGGCTTCTGGAGGGCCTTCAGAGGCCAGGGGAGGCTGTTTTCACCCACCCAGAGACCCAGGGGAGGGTGAAAAACGGCCTTCCTGGAAAAACTGGAAGTTGCAAAACAGGCCTATTTCTGGCTTCCGGTGGACCTCCAGAGGCTGGGGGAGGCCTCTGTACTCTTGGGAGGGGGAAAATGGCCTCTACCGGGCTCTGGAGGCCCACTGGAAGCCAGAAACAGAAAGTTCCAGTAGGCCCAGCCTACCATGGCCACGCCCACCCAGCAACCGGGGAGTGAATCCCGCCCATGCCCGGGATCCACTTTGATAGCGGGGGTAGGATGGGGTGTTAATTTAACAACCGGTTCTCTCAAACTGGTGCGAACCGGCTGAATCCCACCACTGGCCAGGACTATTACCAAAAAAACCATAATAATAATTTGGGGGATTCTTCTTTGGCACAGAATTCTTCTCCTTGACTTCAGACCAACTCATTCAGTCACATGAATGAATACTGACAGACCCGGGATTAGGAAGGGAAGAACAAGAACACGTGAATTGGTCATGAATAAAATGAGCATGGCCCCTTCTAGTTCCCAAAGTCCTGCTTTTCCAGAAAGAAAGCAAAAAAAAATAAATATCAATTTTTCAGTCTAGTCCTAATACCAGTTCCTTCTGAAGGGCTTCGTGATCTTTTATGGCTTGATACTGGGCCAGGATGCAGTCGTCTGCTTTTTCCTTCCTTCTTCTTTCTTCCCCCAAGTAGACCGGAATATTCCTCTGAGCACGCTGCATGCATAGGTAGCACATCTCCTGCAGGCACAGAAGGCAAAGAATTTGTAACCTCTATACCCGACTGCCTCTCTACTCCAATTCTACAGAAGAGGGAAAATCTCTGGTTTCAAACATTTGTAACCAAATCTAATCAAGAGATCAAAATCCTCTAAATTGCAATTTAGACATGTTTGTTTTTATTTTTACTTCCATCTGATTGCATGCTTAAGTGGAGGAATAATTAGTCGGAACAGGCTACCTGTAGAGGGAATGGCCTTGAAAGACAGGAGAAAGAGCCAGCCCCAAGGCAATAATTAGATAAGCGGGGCTTGAGCCCAGACCAAGAAAATCAGTCAGGGAAGGGAAAGCATATTCAAAGTTGCAAGATTATGTTACTATCTGTTACAATAAAAATAGTCTTGGCCTATAGGACACAGGTTTCTTAATATGAACTGACACTATGTCTATAGAAAGAGAGAGAACTGACAGATTCCGATCTCTAAACAATAAAAAGAAATCCTCACTGCTAATATGTCAATCACCGCCACGAGGGGACCAGATTATTCTATCCAATTTTCCACATAAACACTGGGTGGATAACAAGTGGGTCTGCAAATCAGGACTGGGAGATAGTGAGTTCTAGTCCCACCTTAGGTATAATAGCCAGTTGGGGGCTTGAGATGGTGATTATATTGACATACTTGGTTATTAATATATTAACTGCAGCAAGAATTGTATTTTCCCAAAATTGGAAAAATGAGAAAATTCGAATGGAGGAGGAAGTAATTAAGAAAATAATGGAATGTACAGAAATGAGCAGATTAACATTAACAATTAGAGAGCAAGAAGAAAAAGAGTATTATAAAATATGGGATTTATTCTATCAATGGTTAAATAGAAAAGTAGGAAATTGAAATATATTATTGTAGTAATGATATGCTGTAACTGATTATTTTTAAATAGAATATAACACAAATAAAAATTAGTGAGGATTGAGATGTGCTCTAAAGGATAACATGGAATTGAAATTAAAGTCTAATGATTGTATAGTAATAATATAACATTATATGGAAAGTTAATTAATGCAATATGAAGGTAAATTTAAGAGGAAAAGAAGGTTTTATTTGTTGCTTTATGTATTATGTTTTGCATTTATGATTGTTGTTAAAAATAAAAAACTTTTTAAAAAAGAGAGGTGGTGATTCTAGTCCTGCCTTAAGCATGAAAGCTGGCTGGATAACTGTGCGCCAATCACCAGGAGATGGTGAGTTCTAGTTCCACCTGAGACATGAAAGCCAGTTGTACGACTGTTTTGACCCACGCCCTTTTCCGACAAATCAAACACAATCCAAAAGGAACAGAAACCTTGTAATGCTTTTACAAAATAATTAGCTGTGATAAGCACAAGCCTTGTCAAACTGTGTGAGACTTGCCAAAAGATAACAGACAAGAAATAATTTGCAAGACAAAAATGTTCAAATACAAACTCAGGATACTGGAATATCCACGAGGCTGTAGTTTCAAAACGTCTTTGCCTTCTGCAAAGTACATTCATTTCACAGCTGGCTTTTATCTTCTTGAAGGAGGGGCCATTACCTTGCAGCCTTACTCACGAGTCGCCCCTGCTGTTGTAACTGCTCTTTCCTACGAACAATCCTGCGTGCACACGCACTTGGCCCAGGCTCCTCAGGAACCTCCTCATCGCTGCTGCCAGCCCCCACAATTTCTGAAGGCAGCAGTCCACTCCCTAATGGTCCTGGCCCCTCATCTATGTCCTTGCTCTCCTCAGCTGTCTGCACCTGCTGCCGGCTAACCACAACAATGACTTTGGGTCAGTCCCTCTTAGCTCAACTCATGTCACAGGGTTGTAAATATGAGGAAAATAGAAGGAGGAAGGTTTGTTGGATATGTTCACCACCTTGTTTACAAAAATTAATAAAGATATTAAATAAAATTGCTGAGTGGTAAGGGTGGCCTCTCATCTCTCACCTCACAATCAGGAGGCTGTGAATTCGATCCTAGGTGGAGGCAGATATTTCTGTCTCTGGGCACAATGAAAATATATCTGCTGAACAAAACTCTGCATTGGTGACAGGAAGGGCATCCAGCCATTAAACACTCTGCCAGCGCCATTCAGTTGCCTAGACTCCACCTTCAAGGGATTATGGGGTGGTTAAAAGATGATGATGTTTAAATAAAATTGGCTGGAGCTCAGAATCATATTTCATTGGCTAAATAATTGTAGAGAATGGTGGGCCAAGAGCCAAGCATGGCTCAGGGATCACAACTGCCCAGTTCTACCTAGTGGCAAACATCATTTTCAGAGTTGTTAAAACTAACCACACAAATA